TGTGAGGTTTGTGGGAAGACGTTTGGACTGAGAGCCTCGCTAGCCCAGCACAGTAATGTCCATGCAGGTAACAAAACAAACTATTCAGGGCTGGAAAAATAAATGGCACTGCGAGGTTGGGTCTGAATCACTTTCCAGTTTGGATGGTGACATTTTATTCCCGAATCACTTTTATAAGCTCCCTGAATTAGGTGATGAAGAGAAGCAGGGCTTCTCTTGTTAAACAGGGCACAGTAGTGTCTTGTATTGGATGATGCTTGCCCAGAAGACTGAGGCCCGTTTGGTGCTGTTGAAGGATGTCAGAGCAGAAGGAGCAGAGAGTGTAGTTACTGTTATTCCCCTTGCAAGATCAGGGAGCTGTTTTCAGGCTTTCCTTTGCAGTCAAGAAACATTTATCGCATAACTTTAAAACCCAGGGCCCCAAGTGTGTATCTCCTATGTACTTCCCTTTATCAATATCGATCTTTTCAGTGAAAAACCTTTAGGCTTTTTGTTTGCTGAAATCAGGGCCAAAAGAACCTGCTTCTTGGGTTTTGTTGTTTTTAGAGACCCGTCCATATTTCTGCGAGCAGTGTGGGAAAACGTTCACCCAACAGGGCGCTCTCCGCCGCCATCAGCGCATTCACACCGGGGAGAAGCCGTACAAGTGCAGAGCTTGCGAGAGAACCTTCACGGACATGTCCACCTTGCGCAGACACGTGTCGGTACGCTGCCTCTTGTGTGTCAGTGTGGCAGGCAGACTGCGGCGGTGACATTTAACTACTGAGAAAAGTTTCTTGCCTTAATGAGGGCTTATGTTGGTGAGGAGTATTAGGGTTGGGGGATTGATCTACCATCTACACACAGCTTTTAAAAATTTATTTCTGAAGTGTGCAGAATTTTCCTTCAGCAGCACAGCAGCTCCCACTGCTGGCTGTCAAAGCATTCATCCCCCAAGTACTTGTATTGTCTTCAAATGGAAAATCTAGTCTTGTGAAAACATATGAGGAAGGACTAGCTATTTAAAATGCTTATTACTGATTGCATCCTTGGCGGTGGGTCTGGCCCCGGCCCCCCGCGGCCTTGCTGTCTCGCTGCCTCCCTCAGCCGCTGTCCCTTACCCCTTCCCCTTACAGCCGGGCGGCCGCGGCGGCCCTTGCGCCGGGCGCTGCTCTCCGCTCTGCCCCCGCCGTGAGGAGGTAGCGGGACGCTACCCGTCATCCGCGGCCCTTTCTGAAGGGGAGAGGAAGTAGAGGGCGGGGGGCGGGACACCTCCCTCAGCAGCGGGTCTGCAGCCTCATCGCCTGTCCCAGGTGCGGGCAACCAGCTGGGCATCCTCTCCCTGTCACCCGTCGGGGGCACCTGCCTGCTCTTCTGGCCAGGGACAGATGTGCCTGTGTGCTGGCAGCCCATCTTCGGGCCGCTGTGGCAAGCAGGGGAGGCCGAGAAAGGCTGCTGAGGAGGAGGAGGGCGACTGGCCTTGTCACATGAGCTGTGGGCAAGCATGTGGCCATGCCCCATCCTCCTTCCATGCAGGAGTCTCCTGGTCTGGTCTGGGGTCAGTGCACGTCTCTGAATGGCCCTGCACTCTTACGAGGGCTGTCGGGTCTTTGTGGGATGCTCTAGCCTGTCGTCTAAAAACTTGGGCTGGGTGTGCTGTCCTTTGCTTTGCAGGTTTAACTTCTGTTTCAGCAAGTTTAACTTCTGCTTCAGCACTGCAGATCATGCGTGTTATGGTGCCATGATTGTAGTTTCAATAGTTGAAGCAATCCTAAATGAGGCAAGTTAGTGCTTAGCAGTAATGTCTCTTAATAGACTGCATGGAATTGGTGGTGCAGAAGAACAGACAAGCTTGTGGGTCCACAAGCACTTCTGTTACATCTAGCTGTGGCTCTTTTTGTCTCTTTTCAGCTAGTTTTGCCTCTGGAAGGGGACCCATTCATGGTGTGTCATGAGTGGCCTTATGCAAGAGTTGTTTTCATTTATCTCAGTTCCATAGGTTAGTCCTAGTGAGCAGGCTGTTTGCAGATTTTCAGGCTTTGTCTTTTTTAAGATTAACGTAACGTACTTCTGTTGAAGATGTCCTGCTAGGGCCGTGCTCAGCAGCTCAGTATACCAAGCAAGGCAATGAAAAGCCTTCACACACACCGTATCTTACTGTATGCGTTGGATTACTGCTCCTCCCGTGAACAAATTCCAAACCAGCAGAAGGTTAGCGATGCGAGTGATCTGTTTTCACAGTGGCTTTTGATTCTGCAAATACTATTCTGGGAAGAACAGGACGTTTCTGCTTTGCAGCCTTAAGAAAAATGGAATTGGCAGTGTGTCTGTTAACACATGTGTCTGTGGTCAGCTCCTGAAACGAAGAGCTCGTTCACCCCAGTGGGAGAAGTCTGTGGTTTGGGTTCTTGTTTCCTGTTGGGGATCACCGTTTTCTGCATGTGACCACAGCTTTCACTGTGTGTTCAAAGGGAAAATAGATGGATAGTTGTGAAATAACATGATAAGTAGTTCAAAAATAATTGCATTGAGGGGAAAAAAGTTACATTTTGATATTCCTGATTATTTCAGATACAGCATTCAGCGCATCTTTCCTTAATTCATCCTCAAATACTTGGAACGCCAGTGTCATATAACTGGGGGGAAAAAAATTGCAGAGTGACTGTAGAAAGGGAAGCAAAGTTTGAACATCATCTTTTATCATTATTTATAAGAGTCAGCCTTTCGGTCAGGAGTCAAATCATGTCATTCTCATGCGTACAGAATTTCTATCAAAAGCGGAGCATGGCATTAGGGTTTGCATATAAAAGTGGATAGTGTTTTGAGAATGTTTGGTGAGCTCTAAGCTGGCACAGGTGATTCTTTGTCCTCTTCCTCAGTCTTTTGTTTTAGTTGTAGTAACTCAGTGTTGGTTAGAATAACGTTATCAAAACTATTTAAATCTTAACAGTAAGCTTACTGTGCTGAAGATTTAAAGGCTAGGAAACAGGAGGAGTTTGGTTCTGAGCATAATCTTTTCCTGTAGAATCTAAGGCCAGGGTTTGGGTGCCCATGATGGATTGTGTTCCCTATTCTCCGACTTGCTTGTTGCATGAGGTTGGGGAAACGATTCTACTTCCCTCAGGTCTTGTCTGCCTTATTTATAAACTCCTTAGGGCAGGAGCTCCCTGTGTCTTTTTACCTTATGTAGTATCAAGTCTGTGAAGCTTTCATTTTACATGGCTACTGATAATCTCACTGAACTATGTGTTTTGTAGCTCTCCATTTTTACAGTTTCTTGAAAATATTTTATCAAAACTGTTTTAACAGAAAATTGAATTGGGACATGAGTCTTAACTTTTGGTTTGTTGAAATGAGTATCGACTAAAATTGGAGTTTATATCTCTATGGGAGGAGAAAGAGTATCTCTGATGCTATGAATGTTATTCTCGTGTGTATTTTTCATACTTAATATGGCTTCCCTACAAATAGAAGAAAATTCATATTAATGTAAAAGTACATTATTTTTTTGATCTTTCTGAACAAGACTTCTAGTGTCCCATGTATAAAAGGCTGCAAGTCTATAGTATGTGCAGGGAGAAGAAAACTTAATAACTTTTAGGAAGTGGAAAGAAATTCTTCAGATTCAAAATGCAGGCATACGTAGTTGTTAGGAATGCAGTGAAACTCAATAGATTGCAGGGGAGGGTATTGCCCAGAGCATTTTCAGAGTTCACAGAAATATTGTTTGTTCTGGGACAAAGCATTAAAAAAATCAGTTGAGAACTTTGGAGCAACTTAAAACGTTACTTGGAAATGCAACGTAACCTAAATCATATTGGAAAGGGCAAAGCCCTCTTGTAAGGCTACAAATGGCTATGCAAAATTTAGAAGCTGTACATCCATTTTGAGTGATGAATTTTTTAAAAAAGAAAACTTTGAGGGTGTCATGATTTCTTAGGTTTACAGTTTGGGAATATGGTTATGCAGTCTCCCATGCTTTGGTTGCTTAAGCATTTGGAATTTTATCCAAGTCTTGTTTTAAAAGTCTTATCTCAAAAGCCTGTTTAAGAAAGTCTTTATTTAGGATTGCAGTTAACTTTTACTTCATCCTACCTTTCTATTATTGCCTCATTAGGAGGGAGAATAATTTCTTAATTCCACATGCCTTAATGAGAACATTTCTTCTGATCTTCCTCTGTTTGCTTTGTCCCTATTACAGGTTCTAATAGTCTCTAGTGTTTCGGGTAAAATTATGGCTGAGATTTAAACTCAAATTAACTTCAGAGAAATCTCTGTGTATGACTGGCAGCATGGTTAGGGATATATGGCATATGACTGCTTAGGGTGGCACTTTTTGAAATCTGTGCTTCTAGCCAGACTTTTCACAGTGCTTTTTTGAAAGTCTGTTTTCTTAAGATCAAGCACCTAAAGCGCTTAAATTTGAAGTGAAGCACTCTCGAAAGTCTGACATGACTTTTGGCTGCTGAAATATTTTGAGTTTTGTTAGCTTCCGTGCAAATAGCTAACATGCAATGTTATTAACAGCTTTTTGCAGAGAGAAGAAAGATGGAAAGTAATGCAGTTTTACTGGAATCCAAATCCTCTCCTATCAACCTGCTGAATGAAATGCATCAGCTGCGTCTCCTGGGCCACCTCTGCGACGTGACTGTCAGCGTGGAGTATCAAGGTGTCAGGGCAGAGTTTGTTGCTCACAAGGCTGTACTGGCAGCAACAAGCAAATTTTTCAAGGAGGTGTTCCTTAATGAGAAGGGCATGGATGGCCCAAGGACCAACGTGTTCTTGAATGAGGTCCAGGTTGCTGATTTTGCTTCATTTCTTGAGTTTGTTTACACTGCTAAGGTAGAAGTAGAAGAAGACAGAGTGCAGCGTATGCTAGAAATAGCCGAAAAGCTGAAGTGCTTGGACCTCTCGGAAACCTGCTTTCAATTAAAGAAACAGATGCTTGAATCAGTGCTGTTGGAGTTGCAAAACTTCTCTGAATCACAGAACTCTGAGGAGGAGAGCGCTACCCAGCCAAGCATTTTGCTCGAGTCCAAAGCAGCTGCTGTGGCAGAAACTGACCAAGCGGACTGTCTCCTGGATCCTCCAGATTCCCCAGCAGACAGTCCCAGCAATGGAGTGTCTCCTGAGATGCCAGCTGCCAAATCAAAAGAGAAAATGGACAAAAAGAAGGAAATGATGAAGCCTCCTTATGCCAAAATCAGAAGGGCAAGTGGGAGACTGGCCGGGAGGAAAGTGTTTGTAGAAATCCCAAAGAAGAAATACACAAGGCGGCTGAGGGAGCAGCAGAAGAATGCAGAGGTTGCTATTGAAGAAAACAAATACCCTCAAAATCAGGATATGTGTGATATGGAGAGGGAGGAGGAGCAAGCAGAGAACAACATCAAACCTGAAAGCGAAGAATGTGATGGCAACTTTGAATCCGAAGAAAACCTGAAAAAATCCAAAGAGGATAAAAAGAAACGAGGCAGTAACTTCAAGTGCAGCACATGCGAGAAGGAATTCCTGTATGAGAAAAGTTTTCTCAAACACATAAAGCACAGCCACGGCATTGCAGCCGAAATCATTTATCGGTGTGAAACCTGCAGTCAGACCTTTGCCAACCGGTGCAACCTAAAAAGCCATCAGCGCCATGTCCACAGCAGTGAGCGCCACTTCCCTTGTGAGCTCTGCGGTAAGAAGTTCAAGAGGAAGAAGGACGTCAAGAGGCACATTCTCCAGGTTCATGAGGGTGGTGGGGAGCGTCATCAGTGCCAACAGTGTGGAAAGGGGTTGAGCTCCAAAACTGCCTTGAGGCTCCATGAAAGGACGCATACAGGCGACAAGCCTTATGGGTGCACAGAGTGTGAGGCTAAATTTTCTCAGCCTTCTGCACTTAAAACACACATGAGGTATGAACAGACTTAACTGGCCTTGTTAGATTCTGGGGGGAGAAGCAGAATCCCCTGGAACACACCTTGAGCCTTCAAGTGAAGTGGGGATGTAAAACATGACTGACTGGAAAGTGTCCCTATTTCCTTTTTTCATAGCTTTTTTTTTATTTATTTATTCTTCCCTGCTTTTCAGGTTAAGGGAATTGCTGAAACTTTCTTTAAGCCAAAGCAGAAGTGCATGGGCAAGGCTTGCTGCTGCTGGAGCACAGGGTTAACTTTTCTCATGGGAGTAGACCTATTAAGAGTCAATGGGATGTTTCATGTGAGAAAGCAACCCCCATGACAAATTATTTGTAGGATTAGGGCTATAATGATTTCAGCTTATTTTATGTCTCTTTATATTCAATAGAATAATTAAATAGAATATTATGCAGTAAGTGTGAAAATACTCTAAAAAGATTTGGCATGTATTAAATTGAAGAACACCAGATTTGGGTGCTAAGCATAGAAAGCAACTGATATATGACAAGAAACAGGCTGACATGTCACCGTCTGAAGGTGAGTGAAGCACTGAAGATACCCACACAGAGCTGATGAAATCAGTTGTAGTGCTTCTGTTGCACTGAGTCCCGAAGGTGGAGGTGCAAACGCATGGGCTTGAAAGTTCATGGGAGAGACATTTTTATCAAGGCAAAAATTGTAGCTATTAAAGGCTTTAGCCTGCTTTTATCAGTCTACCAAAGCGGTCATCTGCAACCAAAGTTGAGATTATAGTCAGGGAGGAAGCATGGAGAGGGAGGTATAGAAGAAATACCCCAAAGTACTACTACTCAGACCCGAAGGAGAGTGCAGTGGTGTTCCTAGGTGGCATTCCCTACAAGGTAGAGGGGGCCATTAACCACTGCTTTGTTTTGCTGCCCCATTTGAAGTCAGTGGGTTTACTGCTGGCAGTAGAAAGCACATCCAGAAGCAAGCTTCTGCTAGAGTGCTCCTATGATGTTCTTGCTGATACAGCTGTCTCTTCCATCATGTCCTTTCCTAACTGCAAGTAACTGCTTTGTGCTGCTTAAAAAAAATGTATTTTTTGTCCTAAGTGGAGTTTCTCCTCCAGTCGAATGCTGGAAACTCAGTGCTGCCCTAACTTTTTTATCATGACAGTCTGTGTATTGTTAAATCTGTGCTCTTCCTGTTGATGTATATTGCCATGCCATGAAAACTGGCCTCTGTTGGCTGTGTTCCTGCAGCACTGATCAAGAGTCCTGAAGCATGCGTGGGCTCAAAAATTGAAGTTAGGGTAAACTGGCAGAGACAGCAATTCTGTAAACTGCCCTTCCTGTACCCACAGACTTCCGCAGGAGATGATACCACAAGCTTGGGCTGACAGAAAACTGATTGTGTAAAAGTAGCATCTTTTTATTCCACTCCTTGGGTGCTGCTTGCTCCAGAGTAGCCAGTGACACTCTTACTTGATGGCCCTGCAAGAGCAGCGTGCCAGGGAACATATCACTTATATTCTGTGTATTTTATTGATAGTGTCAGCGACATAAAGACACCTACTTTACTTAAGATCCCAAGAGGTGGTTACATTTTTCTTTTAGTCTGTCTACCTGGATACAAGTTTTCTAAGCTTTACTCAATTTTTACCTTTAAACATTTGTTTTTACCCTAAATAAATTTCTGGATCTGGGCCTTGATCATACAGCACATACATGATTGAGTAATAAAAGCAGCACTGCAGAAACCACAATGCAGAATTTGGCCCAGCTGAAGGTATTTTTAAAAGACACTAAAACTTGTACAGGCATATAGTCACTCAGAAGAGAGTGTCTACGAAGTGAAGATGACTTGTGTTTTTCTGCAAAGGAAAGAGAAATACCGTGGTGGTTTTAATGTTGCTTTCTCATTTCAGAATCCATACTGGTGAAAAACCTTTTGCCTGTGATGAATGTGGTGCCAGGTTCACTCAGAATCACATGCTTATATATCACAAACGATGTCACACAGGTAAGGCTTGCTTTTGCAATGTGCTACATGTAGGAGGAGGCATGCTGTGAAACCAGGAAATCTTATTCTTGTTCAGAAAACACCCTGTTGTTGTTTTTTTATATAAAATCAGATATTCTTGTGCCTAGACACGGTTTTACTGAGAAGGTTTTCAGTAGGTGGATGGACAGACAGTGAAGAGGGTAAAAGGAGCAGATTAAAGAGAAAAAGAGTTCCCATCTGGCTGGGATCCAACGTAAGAAGTGTGGGCTGAGGCTGGACAGTCTTCAGTATCCAAAGATCTGTCAGCAGTAAAAGGTCTAGTTGAATTCTTAAGGGAAAAATGATGTCTCTGTAAGTCTGGAACGGTTTGCCCAAGGAGTATAAAACAGCTGTCTTGGCTTATTCTTATCTTTTTAAAAGCATGCGTCCTTTTTCTGGCTATCCTTCGTGGTGTAAATTTGTGTTTTGAATTGACCCTTCATACCACCCTTGAGTTGTGCGTGGTGCTTTTGAATCTCTTGGTTGACCTGTCTTCTGGCTGCCTTCTGTCAGTAACGTGTAACTAAATGTGGATGGCAGAAAACATTCAATTACAATGAAATATAATTCCAAGAACGCTTTCTGAGACGCATATAACTACAACTGGCTGCTTACAGGTGGGGAGGCCTTTCATCAGAGGCATGCAGCGTTTTGTTCATGATGAGAGTAAGCCAGAATACTCCAGTGATGGTGAGAAGACTGCTAGTTGCACATCTCCCTGGGCTTTTATTACACTGTGCAGAGCTGTAGTGTGCTGTTGGATAGGTGCAGTTGCCCTTGCACTTGGTGGGTTTTGTGCACATTTCTCACAGGAAAGCTCTGTGCCTTACGCAGAGATCCCTGCTGTCACCGTGGCCTGTTCAGATCCTTCTGCGAGGCTGGCGTCTGGTTTGTTTGTATCCAATAGCCTTCAGTTGTTGCTGTGTGATGGTTAATTCTCCTTTTCGCCCTTGCTATAGGAGAACGGCCTTTTATGTGTGAAACATGCGGGAAGAGCTTTGCCTCTAAGGAGTACTTGAAACACCATAACAGAATCCATACTGGATCCAAACCGTTCAAATGTGAAGTTTGCTTCAGAACGTTTGCACAGAGAAATTCGCTTTACCAGCATATAAAAGTTCACACAGGTAGGAGGTTCTCTTTTTTTGTTTGAAACACACCATCACAATTTAAAGATGTAGACCTCACAGTTGCTCAGTTCAGACAAGGGATTTCTCAGCTAGTGTTTCCTATTACTCTAATTCCTACCCTGCATGCACATTTTGATTCTTGATGCAGAGTGTTCCTTCATCCACTTCCCTTCTCCTGGTACTCCCCGTGCTTTGCACTGAGTTACAGCAATCCTCTGAACTGCTTCCAAAAGCTGTGCAGATATTGTTAAGAATGCTGCCAGGATTATTAGTGACCAGAGAACTCTGTCTGTTTTAGCTCTGAGCAGGGCACTGCAGAGAGCTGATCTCATTCCTCTCTACTTGCCCACCTTTCACATTTGTATTCTCTCCTGCTTGGATTTTCACTTTGGTGTCTGTTTTATTCCCACCTGCTCCTATTTTTTTTGAGTCTAAAGCAGTGTCCATAGGTACAGTCACACTGATTTTCAGGTGGTGCTGTCAGTGTGGAAGGACAAGTGAACAGTCACTTTCACTCTTGGCAACTTTAGCATTTCTTTCCATTTTATGCTCTCTCTTACCCCGCCTCTTCAGAGGGACAGCACTCTGGTTTCTTCCCAGTGCTAGCTTGAAATTTCATCCCTCCCATAGAATCTTAGACTTGCTTTCTCTCTGAAGTTTTTTGCTTGCTCTCTCCAAGTCCACATTATTCAGCAATACAGAAGGTTGCAAACAATCATGTGTAATAAATACCACACTTTCTTATCCAGTGCCACCCTGTAGGGAGCATCCTTGCCAACATTCTCTGTTAACAACATTCTTGTGTGGCTGCCATGCCTTGCTGTTTACTTCCTGCATCTGTGTGTTTAGTGTGACGTTGGTATAGGGGAAGCAGGGGACATCGGTGTGGCAGTGCTGATGGGAACCATTTTTCCCTGGTCTGGAATGTCATCTCTTTTTCTGTGACACCACTTGGCAGCTGTAAGAAAGTTTTTTTGTCATCTCTTTTTCTGCCTTAGCCAAGGAAGAAGTAAACATGCGGTTGTTTCAACAAGTGCTTAATAAAGTGACTGCAGCAAGCCAGTTTGTGATGTATTTGGAGGTAACCTGGAGGTTCATGCTCACAGAATGTACCTTGTAAATAGGAAAACTTGTATTCTGGGACAGAACTTTAGTTGCTAATGGGAAATATGTGTGAAAAATGTGGAGGCTTCAGTGGTTGCACAGATATATGCAGGCTATGAGTCTAGCTCTTAAAGTGTGTTTGCTTACTTTAGATGTGTCAAAATTTACCCAACTGTGAGAATTCTGAAAACATCTTGCTGCTTTTTTTTTTTTTTTTTTTTTTTTTTGTGCCTTATTGTTTCATGAAGTACAGGAGTTACTTGAGGTTCCCCAGGGAGCAGCACTCGTAATCCCCTGGCACCACTGCTTTAACGCTATGCTCTGCTCTTAGGTGAACGACCCTACTGCTGTGACCAGTGTGGGAAGCAGTTCACGCAGCTGAACGCGCTGCAGCGGCACCACCGAATACACACGGGGGAGAAGCCCTTCATGTGCAATGCCTGCGGGCGAACTTTCACTGACAAGTCCACCCTCCGACGGCACACTTCGGTAAGAACCTGTCATTCCACTACCTTGTAGCCCCTGCACCTTCCTCTCTCGACTTTGTCAGGCCCAGAGGGGACTTCTGTCCTGGTTTTGTTGGGTTTAGCACATCGTCCTCTCTCTGACATGGCATTACAGTACTCAGTTTGTGTTCAGTCCCGAGTCTGCAGTGAAACTGTTCTCAGTCCTTTGTAGCATACCCACGCAGGTCATGCCTGAGGGCTCTCGAGTCACAGATTTGCTCTGAGTGTCTTGACAACAAGGAGAATTTGTGTGGCAAGCGACAGAATTCACTGTCTGGGCCAGGCTCTCTGCTGGACTGGTTAGATGCTTTAGGAGAACTGGAAGCTCCCCAGGGACACAGATTGGTGCGTGGATGTATATTTGGGATAGTAACGTGCGATGAAGAGAGAGATCTTTTCTACCAGCATCAAGAATGGGCCAGATCCAAGCTTTTGCCTCCTGGACAGTCATTGTGTGTTCAACCTTCTGGTTTTTGGTTATCTTTTTTTCAGATACACGATAAAAACACACCCTGGAAGTCCTTCCTTGTTGTTGTTGAAGGGGCATCTAAGAACAACGAAAGTCACAAAACAGAGCTTCCCGACGAAGAGTATGAGGTGTCACCTAAACTACCAGAGAAGCTGCTGTCTTTTTCTGAAAACAGCCACTATCAACACTTGACTGCTGTCCCAGGGAGCGTGACTGCGCTGCATGACAGTGGTTCTGCCACGGGACCAGACTGTAAATCAGATGGGACTCCAGGAGCCCAGGAAGCCCTCATAGCTACCACTCTGAGCGAGCTGACAGTGCTGCATACACAGACAGACTCTCTCCAGCCACAGCTTCATGCTCTGGTGAATATGGAATAATTTGGTATTTACAACTCCACTTTAAGCTGCGCCTTTTGTATAATCCTTTGACTTTGCCAATAACCCACTGAGGGAACTAGAAGCCGAACAAGGAAGTGGGGTTAGACATGAAAGACATGTGCTGTGTTTCCAGAATTCCCTCCAAAAAGTCATTACCACCCCCAGTGTATCGCTTCATCTCCTGAAGGCAGGGCAGAGTAGCACCACAGCAGAGGGGTGGTGGCAGAGGAGGCAGAAGTCTGGGGAAGTTCATTCCTTACAAATAAAAGGGTGTAGTTCCACTTGTTTGCTCTCGCTGGCCTGCAGTGGAAAGAAGTACCTACATCCAGAGAGGCTGTAAAGAAGGTGCCAGTTTGATTTGCAGCTGATGACACATGTACAATCAAGAGAAATGACAATGTGTTTCTCAGCCTAGTAACTAAGTTAATTGTGTTTTCCCTAGTGGGAATTCATACACAAAGTAAGTTTTACTGAATCACTTTTCAGGAAGTGTTGGTTTATCTCTGCTGTTGCCAAAGATACAAGCAGTGAGCCAGCTCACTCCTTGGGAATATGAGTGGAAGCAAGCTTTGGAAAGATCTGGGGTTTCATTCCAGGAGTTCTGATTCTCTAGTAGCAAAACGGGCAAGTGGGAGCAAAGTGCTGCATCTGTACAGGTGCTGGGATTATCTTTACATTATGGTGCACTTTGACACTTGGGTTCAGTCAGGCACTCTTCATCTTCTAACTGCTCCAGATTACGTACAACTTGGCAATTTGGAGAGAAAAACATCTCTTGTAAAAATGCCTATGAAAAGTAAGTGTAGAAAGACAACTATTGGCCGTTTTCTGTGAATTTGTATCATTTGAGCTGTTTTCTGGTGGCTCAGAGAGATCAGCAATGCTCTTTTCTCCACCATCACTTAAACAGAGCTGCAGACCTCCTTTTATACTCCACTGGGAACAGTTAACTACTGTTCTGCTGTTGAGTTGCTACAGCCAATTCCACCAGTGCAAGAGTCTCCAGAGGTAAATTCCGTTCCAAACAGGAGGCAGTCAGGATTCTTATGACTAGCGGCATAAAGAGATTCGAGTAAGTAAAAAATGTACTGGACTATTCAAGGGATTTAGGCCTTTCTACCCCAGCTTGTGAGTACTTCGTAAGCCTACCTTGGCATCTCAACAGCGGTTTCAGGCTTGTGTCTGTTTAACTGGCCCCAGCGAGCTATTCAGAGGCAGGCCTTAAGAGCACAAGCAATGCAAAGGTGTTAATGTATTAGCATCTGCTGCTAAATTTTAGTAGAAAAACCCTGGCAATGCACCTTTGTTTGTTTTACATAAGGAAATGTGGCAAAATGCTCACAGGGACTGAAGGTACCAAGCGTGACTTCTGTTCAGCCCACACTCCAATGCTGCCACTCCACCAGCCAGCCCCAGCACCTGCTGGCTTTGGCATCCCCTGAGAATCACACCTCTGTTCTGGCACTGTGTACCCAGACAGACAGATCTTTCTTCCTATCTCCTCACCTTCCTTGGGGCTTGTCTCCCCTTGTTCTCCCCAGTTACTGCCTGTAGCTGAAAAAGCTGCAGTACAGAAAACCAGAGAGTTTGTGTCCAGGGTAAGCGTTTTTTCTATTTCCTTTGCTCACACTGAAGCTGGGCTGGAGTAAGGTTACTTTAGTTGACCTCACTCAGGAGGATTTGGAGCATTTTCCCTGTGCAGGGAAGGAAGCTTTGAAAGAGCTGGCACTGACAAAGAAACATCTGACTGGGATGACTCTTGGTTTTGGGAGCAGCTGTGAATCAACGGCAACTTGCTGGTACAATTAACATGTCAAACTCAGGATCACATTCCCAGTGCCACTATGTGAAAATCTGGAGCTTTTCTACTTCATTTTTCTGTTTTGCTTTTGTCTTTATTTTACTATTACTGTAGTATTTCCACAGAAACTTTCTTAGCTGAAGTTGCAAGAACTCCTCTGAGAGATTGCGTTAGTGTAAAGGTAAGCACAATCAAGCCTTGCTAGGGCCCGTTCTGAGGTTTAAGGGTTGGCAAAGCAATAACGATACCCAAACTGTGGCACAGAGCTATTTTTGAACCTTAAAGGGATCTTTGTGTTACTGTGGAATCATAATTTAATCTAGAGAAAGGGAATTTTTTTAAAAGAGCACACTTCCAAGAGGTTATATTTGAAATATTTATTCAAGCACGCTGTTCCTGTTGAAGCTCAGTATTCCCTGTGACCCATGTAAAGAGGTTGTAGATATATTTAAAGTCTGAGCATTAGCACTTGTAGCCAGGGAACCTTTTGTACTCCATGAATGTATGGAAGTGAGTTACTTGTATGACCTGTTCTTATTAAAATATTGAAATCTTGAGACTGACCCTTCCAGTGACTTGATCAAACATTTCTAAACCCTCTGCATAATGCATGGACGCCTGTCACTATGACTGTGCTAAGACTAGGCTAAGTTCCGATCCGGCTCAGTTGCAGGCCTGAATCTGTGGGGTGCCACCTCTTCCTCAGGCCTGTCACCCTGTCGGAGTACCAGCACATAGCCTGACTCTTCTGTGAGTTGAGCTGGCTTTCCAGGTGCTCACCTTCCACTAGATGTGAAAAAACATGCCTGAAGAAAAAGGAAATAGAACACTTTGGGACACTACCCTTTCCTACAGCTGACAGGTTGTACAACAGGCAATTAAGTGCCATGACAGCCACTGTAAAGTCATCAGCCAGGGCTTCCTACACAAGTATTCACCCTTAGCACAGGCCTTAACGGGTCACTAAAGTAATGGAATGGCAGCACTCTGCCTGCTGGCTTTTATCATCACACCCTACGGCTTTACACCAGGCTCCAGCCTGAGCCTGCCTTTTGCATTTTCCAGGAAGGAACATTTATCACTACTTAATTTCATGATTTTCACTTTATTAATGTACAGATTCACACAAAACATTATATTCTTGCTAAGGCTTTTCATTAGTAAGTTTTCATAGTACAGAGTGGTGTACTAGGGGGAAAATACAGCAGAGTGGCAGATCGTCACTTTAGAACTGTCACAATTTACCACTGATACACTGGAGGACATGCTGTAGCTTACTTACACAGAACTAACAGTTGTATTTTAATGATATTACTCCAGAGCACAGTAACAGACCACACAACCCCATGGGTACGGGCTTCTGCTCCACCAGCTCCCTCTGCACCTTGTCACAACTGTGCCTAATACTGACAATAGTAAAAGGGAACACCAAAAAAAAAAAAAAAGGCATAAAATCTTCACCTTGGTTCTGTATAATGCTAAGAAAAGTAAACCTCAGTGCCTGTGCATCCCTTTGCTGGGGCTCCAGAGGCGCTAGACACAAGTCCAGGTAAACCTGGAAACAAACAAAACTGGTTCCAACCCCATCCTTTTACCACAGTTCAGTGAGGAGATCAGAGCTGCAGCTCATGCAGCTTAGCTGTAGGAACCCCTACTTACCAGGCTGGCTGCAGCCTAAACTCTGCCTTTTTTCTGCCCAGTGGAGGTGGCAGAAGCATGCGAAGGACACCGGTAGAGGAACAGGAGGCCCTCAGAAAAACAGCAGTAGGTCCCTGCTTCTGCTGAGCCAAGGTGTGGACATAGATGAGGACCATGCATTAAACTGAATTTGAAGGATTTCTTTGCCAAGTTTGTGGGAAGGACCAATGTGACACATAGTGGTCTAAGCTAAAGTAATGGTTTTGAGGTTTAGCATGAGCTGTAGCCTTAAAAGCTCATCTGAGAAGTTAAGAAACTGAAGCTGCTTGGAAGAACTTTTGCAGTGCACCCACCTTGCCAGGTCTGCACAGCTCACGGGCCTGCTCTATCAAGTTAGGATGCACAGCATAATGTCTGCAAAAATAAGTGACCAGTGTGAGATCAATCAGGAAAACACAAAAATTAATTTGGCATGTACCAGGAGCGTTTTTGGGTCATCTTTTTCATAAGCTGGTGGTAAAGTACCACTTTAATAGAACTAAACCCTTTAGATTCATAAGCCAAACTGCGGTCAACTAAAATACCTGTATTAAAAACAAACAGATGAGAAGTACAAAAGCTGGCATTTTGGTTGCCAGAGACTATCACTTCAAGAGAAACAATAGGCAGTTCCCACCAAAGCTGCCTGCTGGGAGCTACCATGATGTTCCTGCTCTGGCCATGGAAGAGGACCCACTTAAAGCAGGTAGTTAATTACTTTTTCATTCTTTGCAGAGAAATACTAAGTGACAACTCCTGCTGACAAACTGCAGAGGCTCCCAAGCCCTTCTCAATATGTAGAGATGAAGTAAAAAGTAGCTCAATCCTCTAGTTAAACAAAGCACTGCATGGAAGAGCCCTGGTTGCAGACATTTAAAACCACATTTCTAAAATTACTGCAGGAATTTTTAAGTGTCTCTGCACCTTTTCAAAGCAAGCTTGATCCAAGTGTCACCCAGACAACTGAAACAAGGTTTCTGTATAACATCAGGTCTCGGTCAGTGCTTTTGCACATCCCAGGAATGAGGCGGCTTCGCCAAGAGGTTGGAAATTGAACGGGTACTGCCCGGCGCACACAGAAGACCTGTACTAGAGACGGCAGCGGGAGTTCATGTAAACGAAGAGTTAGAAAAATAGATTATTACTCAGGTCAAGTTATCTTGGGGTAGGAGGGATGGGATGCACCACAAAATAAAGTGGAAAAATAGATCCAAGAAAATAGAGGAGAACCTTACATTTTATATTTAGATCTGAAATACAAAATAGACCATTAACTAGGTCTACTCACAACAACTGTCACCAACCTAAGCAGTCCTGTCCCCTAGCACGTAACGCCTTCAGTGCGCGGTCCTTAGGTATGCTGTATTTATATGTGCACACATGTATCTGTATAGGGTGTATACACACACATGCACACTGTATATACAAGTCACAAAGCCTTTCACTAGCACCATTAGAAAAGCTCAATCATTTAAAAAACCAAGATCCAAGTGTCTCTGACAGTGGTCCATTTAGGAACAGAAAATGGTAACAATACAGCAACAGAGCAGAAGCAGTTATTTGTACCTTACTGGCACTGACAAAATATTTACATGCTGGAATCAATGGTACTGAGCCTTAAGACAGAACAGTGGGAAAAAACAGCAGTTCCAAGTGCAGACTTTGGATTCATCAGCTAACAAAACCAATAAAGAATTTCTGCCCTCAGAAAGATCTGCCAGTGACACCCAGAGCATCGCTTCTCATCTACCCATGTTGTCACAACAAAGAGCAGGGTACTAAAGAAACACACAAGTCATTGGATCTGTAAGCAACAAAATAAAGCTAGAGATTTTTTATCCGGTATCCTGTAATGGTCCTTGGCTGTAACACAAGAACAGATTACTTAGGCTGCATGCCACAAATACCACACACGATTCATTTCAGATCCCCATCCCCTTCTCCTTGGATTGACTTTTTGATGCGAAGCAACATGGTTGTAAGCCACTGATCCAACCGGGATATTGAATCAAATTCCTTAACCTATTAGGAAAAAAAAAAAAAAAGACAATTTAAATGGAGACATTAGAAAGCAAACAAGACTGCTGCAAAAGAAGCATTCTGCAGCTCTTAAGTACAGTCTTTTCAAACTTCTACTCTTCCCAGAAAAAAAATAAAATAATCTCTCCTGGGGGTTGTTTTGGGGCAGGATGGTGAAGCAGCAAAACACCCAGTGTTTTGCCCCACTGGACTTGATCACAGCACTCTAACAGCACACACACACCAAAGATTAAAAAAAAAAAAAAGAACAACCCACCATCCATGAGCACACTTTAGCAAGTTTATGACTACTTACTGCCTCGGTGTATGCCTCACAGTTCTGCTCCTCGTGGGCTTCCAGCAGTTTCTAGGAGAACACCATCAAAAATTAGAAAATACTCCGTTACAGCGTGTTCCCACAGAGCCAGCATGTGGGCACCTCGTCCCCAGGAGAGAGGGGACTGGGGCACCCATGAGTCCAGCAGCAGCACCTCCACAACCCATTCAAACCACCCACCGTGAACACAGAAACAGTTTGGGGTTTTTTTAGTCAGCTACAATCATCTTTCTGCTGCAGCCACTTCCACACGCCTGGTACAATGCAAAGCAAGTCTGATGTCCTCTAAAACATTCAAATAAATGACCAAACCTATGGCAAGGTGAAAAAGCACAAAGTAAAGCGCCATTGACGCATTGTCAAGTGTGACTATTATTTTAATACTGGCTTTACTCACTTTCAATAGCTTGCACTCCCGTGAATCTGTGAATGCTGGGAACATTTCTTCGTATTTCTCAAGCGCAAGCTGAAAGACAGCAGACAACCCTTACGCTCTTTTCGCACAAAACTATTTGCTTTTTATTTCAGCTTTTGCCTTCCAGTCCTAAAACCACACAGAGAGCTTGGGAAAGTATTCACAGCAACTCCGATATGATACAGCACTTCAAGCTCCAGTTCATGCAACAGCCACACAAATCCCCAGGCACCCAAGAACGTGTCTCAACCGGCAAAGGCTGATAAAGAAGGATGCAGAAAGTTTGGGATAACCACTGACCTTTGCGTTCAGTTCATCCACAATGAAGTGGCACAGAGCGGCTTTGAAGAAATACTCTTTCGCACTATACTTCAGTAAAGGATTATCCATTGTGTTTGTTCCAACCTAGGCACAAAATTATTAGTTGGGAAAGAAAATTGCATCATTAAGCACTGAATAAAAAACAGGACAGCTGATTAAAATTACATGCAGCACCACATGGCTGGCTGCAAATGAAGACTGGGATTAAAAAAAAAAAGTAAAAAATGTCAGCATCCATACAAAAAGCTCTTGGGAAGCCAGATGGATTTTTAACTCCTCCCAAGGGAAGTCAGAGACCTGCAGGCAGCCGCAAAAGTGCACCCACACAGCCCATCCCAGCTGCCCCAGTTCAGGGGTGCCACACTGGTACCTCAGTATGTCCTGTCCGATACGGGAGGGGGAAAGCAAGTCGACTTGGTGAAAATCTGCTACAGTATTAACCCTCCAGAAGCACAAAAGCAGCACTGGAAGTATTCCCAGGTAAATAACTGGCACAAAGGCAAAGCAATCAAGTTTACAAATTTTGGGGGGAATTTTCTGCCAAACGTATTTGTAAACACCATCAAAAGTGCAATTATACATTTCCTTCTCACTGCTTCGCCCAGCCTTTCTCTAGAAACAATAGAATTTTGGGGAAAAAAACGCCTTTGGTAAGTTAAAGCAGCTTATAAAAGCAAAGAAACAAACCATGTCTCAAAGGCATAATCGGCCCTGAAGTAAGTAAGATTCTAGGCTGCGGGAATTTTGTGAGACCAACACACTGACCTGCTTTTCATTTTCAAGAAATGTCTGCCCCATTGGACAAAGCACGCACCCTCACCTGCTCATAGATCTCTATCGCCTTCTGGTACTGCTCCAGCTGCGCGGCATAGGCAGCCACCTTCAGCAGACACTTGTTGGCTGAGCTAAAATCAATAGTGTTCAAGTAAGCAATTGTGTCCTGGGTAAAAACAAATCCAAGCACTACTGGTACTACTCAGTGTACATAAGAGCAGGATCCAAAAGCTGCAAATCAGGGAATTAATTTTTTTTTAAGACCCAGAATTCAAACACACAGAAAGGCACGAAGACCTTTCGCTCAGCACGGACCTGGTAAACACCCTTCAATCCCTCCGTGCTTTCTCCACACCCAAAACAGGCACCCCAAACCAGACAAGCCTGCGTGCAGCAGGAGAACCTTAAACAGAAATTCAAGGAGGACTTGAACATCCCACCATGGGACATTTTAGAAGAGGCTGGCATGCAAGCACATGGGCCAACTAAGACAAATCCCTGTCTGCAGCCCTTCCTTGTTGTAACCCTCTCACAAAGACCACTTGCCTGTTAGACTCCTCTCCTTTGTAATAGTCTGCAGCCTGCTCGTAGTGTGCAATTGCCTGGGGACAGAAACACCATGCTTCAATGCCACTTCAGAAGTACAATTTTTGGTCAGACAGGCATAGAGCAACCACGTTCATAAAAGCTTTCCCATTCTGTGCACAAAGGGAGGCAGCTTCTGCTGAAGTGAGGTGCTGCCATGCATCCTCCACACATTCAGAACAAGAGGCTGCCCTTGGGAATTTGACTGTGACCATGTTAAGTGTCCCAAACTCCAATGCAAGTTCAATTACTCTTGAGGTAATAGCTACAAACACTTATAATCACAGTATGACAAGGTTTCTGCTGGATTTGCCGCAACAGAATAAACTGCAACATCCCTGGCATAGCAGGGCTTGATTTAAGTGGGGCTACACAACACTGAAGTCACTAACAGAGATAGATGGGAGCCAACAAAGTGGAGCTAAGGAAGCAGATGATTGTCTAGAAAATAGTATCTAGAAACCATTACATTTGTGTTCTGCAAACTTCAAGCAGAAGCTTTGCAGCCAGCTGATCTGATGCAGGATTCTGCTCAGGGCCCTCAGTTTATGGGAACAAGAGAGGGTCAGCGCTGAACCGCAAACTAAAAATAGCAGCTGCCTCCTTTGGGTGCATCAGGAAAGAGCTGCAGAACTGCCCCACAACTTTCCCAAAGTGCTTTTCAGATGTGAAGCACCACTTCAGTCAGGGTTTCTCACCTGGGCATTTCTGCCAACCCTGTCATGCTGCCGCTCAGCAGAGGGGCATACGGAAGAGTGTGCAAGACTGCCCAGCAAGAGTCACTCTGGGAAAAATCATCGGTCACCCCGTTAACGCTAACTTCAAGTTACAGGCGACATGCACTGACGTAAAGCAGTCCGGTGCTGGGTGGGAAGCGGGTTTTATCGGCCGCGCTGAGCTCAGCGCTGCTCTGGCTGGGGAAGGAAATGCAGCCACCGCCGCAGTAGCACCTACAGCACAGCACCAGCAGCGCCTAGCATCTTTACCTTTTCGATATCTACCAGCTCAGCCTCGTAGATCTCCGCAATGGTGATGTGGTGCTTGGCAGCAATAGTGAATCGCCCCTAGGGAAGGCAGAGGTTGCACGTGAGATGGGGGCTCCCCCTCCGCCCAGCACACGCAGCATTTACCAAGCTGCAGCTCTTAACAAGCACACTGGCTTGCAAGCTGCCCGTGCAGCTTCTTACCATGTCAGTGTAGATATCAATAGCTGCATTTAAGCAGTTGATGGCCTCTGCAGCATGAGTGTTCAGGAAAAACAACAGTCAGCCAGCGTGTCAGACTTCCCAGCCCAAGACACCCCCCCCCCCCAAAAA